TTTTTTTTTCCTTTTGTTACTCTTTTATTTTTATTTTTATTTTTCTTTTCTCTTCACGATTTTTGCTGATATGCACGAAGGAGGAAGGGCGGGGCGCAGTTCCTGAACCTGAGCACCCTCTCATTCCACACTTAACACACAACCGCGTCGCGGAGCGCACCCGACGGTGATGCGCATCACGCCGCGTGCAACAGGATTCGGAACCATCCACAGAGAGAGTTTCGCGGTCCTTCAACCAGGACTGGCTTCATCTTCCTTTCGTCAGGGGTGCGACGTTGTTTCGTGCGCTCCATTTTTTTGATGTGTTCGCTTTCCGTGCGCAATTGTCAACCCGCGCACCTCGTCCAAGTCCATAGTTGACTACAGCGGGCCAAATCAGGTGGATTCAATGTGATTGTGCCTAAATTGGCCCGCAGTTGTCAACTTCTGTCATGGCAACCTGACAACACTTTAATTTCAACACAGACGTGTTGGAAAGACGTTGGATCAACGTTGAACAGTTGTTGGACCAACGTTGGCCACGTGTTGATCAAACTGTTGGAAACACACAACGGTGATGGTCCAACGGTTGGGCAAGGCATTTATCGTCGTTCCAACGCTGGTCCACCACGGGCACCGAGTTGGAAACTTGATGGATTTTTTCTACATTTTTTCTGTTGTTAGACTCCAACTCACCTTTCTGTTGATCGCTTGGTTCTCTGCAGTCACCCACGGTCCTCTTGCCTGGGTTAGAATTCCTCCGGGGATGGGGGCATTGATTAGCATAGTGCCCCGGTTCCATGCAGTTGTAGCAAGTAGGTGGTCCTCTTCGTGGTCCTCGATCATAGTACTGGTCGCTATGTCTGTTCCCACTTGGGGCTCTATCGCTCCCATAGCCTCTATCACTCCCGTAACCACGGTGTCTACCACCATGTTCTCGGTCACCGCTACCCCGCTCTCGACCGCTTCGTTCGTAAATCATGACTACTACCTCCGTTGTCTCGACGTTCCCCGTATCCCGCCATGTCGCCGCTAGCGCAACGTCACTGGAACAGTAACTCTCTCCAAAGTCGCCTTGTAGTCCCCCGAAAGGTCAAAAACGTGCTCACTCGTCCCAGCAACGTAACTTCAGGATAGTTCACACACGAAATGATAGTATCATCATCATCACAGTATCACGTCAAGCTAAGCCAACTCAAAGAGCAAACTAGACGAGACAGGTGTGAGCGTAAAAAACAGAATTCTT